AAATAAACGTGTTGATTGACCATTTGACCGTGTGCTAAGATATCGTAATACACTACAATCTCGAGCAAGTCTTCCAAGAAATAAAACTCAAGATAATCTATTCCATAACATCAATTACAATTTGGAATTCGGATAAAAGCAATCATAACATGTATAATGAAGGCATCATAAAAAATAAATCATTAATAAATCCTAAGTATTAAAATAGCCCTGTGTATGAATCAGTGGTCAAAAATTTATTATAGGCGATCTGAAAATTGAACATAAAAAAGATTGTGCTATGGGTAGTTTCGCCCAACACCGCACGTTGCCACATAACTAAAACATTAATCTCAAAACTCGTGCTATAATCTTACATATGGATATCTTGCATAGCATCAAAATCGTTCTGAAAAATCTTCCCTGTCAGATGAATACAAAGGCTTTTTTTCGGCAAATGAACCTTCTTCAAACATCGTGGCATGGCGCTAGAGAATCATAAACAATTAAACGGTATTAAATAACAGAGGCTACATGACTTGAGGACTTTCAACAGGTGCAACAACTAAAATGGATAGGACATGCAACTGGAAGAGAAGATAACATTCCGCATTATTTCAAGGAAAAGTTCGGATGTAAATTCCCATAAATAATAGAAGGAGCAATAACAGGAACTTGATAAACCTATTTTCGTGAAAGATTATTTTAATAGAAACATTTTACAAATTCTAACCAACATTAGCACCGGCTGCTCGAGTAATCAAAGTCGAATATTTCCTTATAGGGAAAAGGCTAGTATTACCATTAAGACTAAAGTATTAAAAATAAACAACGAAAGTTTCATTACCCATAATGACATTGTCCATCCTCTCTGCATTATTCAAAAGATGAGATGAAACGTAAAACCGATACATTTTTTTAAGATACAAGACACCGTCTTTGATAAATTATTACTAATTCCCAAATCCTCCCAGAATTAGGCGTCTACAATGACTCATACTCTAAAGCATAAATCCTAGTTATTCTTACTCTGACCACATTCGTATTTTATGAGGTATGCGTGTCTGTTTGTCTGTATGTATTTCGGATTTCGCCCTTTCTTGTGCATACCGTGCCGAGCAAAAACGCCCTGTTTCTTAAAAATATCTGCATGAACATTTTTTGGGATTAGAGTTTATCAGTTTTCACACAAAACTTCATGTTAAATCGATTCTTTCCAGTGATATTACGGCAACAATATGACATGGACACATAAAACTTCCTCTACTTCTCGACAACAAATGATTCATCTGAATTGCGTCTCAAGAAAACCGAAGTTGGAACAGGTCCGTACGTACCCGAATTCAAATTCATGCGTGATCAATTACCCCAGCGACAAGCCACGGTCATTCCGGAAAAAATGTTGTCAAAATAATTAGGTGACAATTGACATGAATGGAGACTTGGTGTATTAGTTCTAATTATAATATTAGTGGGGTACATAAAAAAAGTGGAACGGAAATAAAATTGCTGCAAAATTATTAATACTATTTAACTTGGGATTAATAATTAATAAGATAGAATAAAATTGTTTTTTCTTGAAATTCAAAGAACGTTGGCGCATTCTTTTATTTGTTAACTCGCTTTCCTGAGAAAGGTTAAAATATTGCTGTTGAGGTGAAAACGATTGCGTCACAACTTGTAAGGGCGACCTGAGAAATAATACTTTCTATCTTGGTTTTTGGTTTGCATTCTTGGAGCCATAGTTTGTATTCGAATCCAATTAGTTTTGTATTGAGTGAATAAACCGTTGTCTAATGAATAAATTTACCGTTATTTTTTTGTCTATTTTAATTTAGTGAATGCAATTCAATGAAGTCAAATCTTGAGAATTCCCTGCGTGTTAGAAACAAATTTGAAACAATCAAATAAAATTCCTCGAAATCCTATAATGAAAAACACATCGAAATTGCGAGATTAGAAAGTCAAATGGCGGAAAAGAAAAATTGTAGTGACATTTCATATCGTTAGACACTGAAAGCATATATATATATATATATATATATATATATATATATATATAGATAGATAGATAGATAGATAGATAGATAGATGTATGTGTGTGTATGTGTGTTGAATGTATTTATGTACTTAAATAGATATAAATAAAATATATCTGAAGTAGGACAATGTTAATAAAAAAAAGGAAAACTTTTTTTTACCAACGTGTGTGCATGCGTGTGTGCGTGAATGTATTTATGTACTTAAATAGATATAAATAAAATATATCAGTAGTAGGACAATGTGAATAAAGGGAAAAAGGAAAACTTTTTTACCAACGTGTGTGTGTCTCTCTCTCTCTCTCTATATATATATATATATATATATATATATATATATATATATCAGGGGTGTGCCTTGTCTGCAAAGGAAGCATCCATTTACTATTAACGAAAATGCTCTACCTAAGGCAATGTCTCCTTAGTTCGTTCGCTTTCGTGTACACCCACACATTGGGATCTGACAAGCTTTAGATAAAATCTGATGAAGCATCTTTAATCACCTGTCGTTTTGCGTTTTAATTAATCTCATATGCGGTCTAAAAGGATGAAATGGAAATAATGTCTTTAATATAATCACAAAATTAAATTCGGGGCTTTTAGCTTCCATTTTTGAAACATGGTTAGAACTGTGTAGCGAAAAAACATATTTTAAATCAATTAATTTATAATATATATATATATATATATATATATATATATATATATATATATATATATATTTATAATATATATATATATATATTTATAATATATATATATATATTTATAATATATATATATATATATATATATATATATATATTTATAATATATATATATATATATATATTTATAATATATATATATATATATATATATATATAATATATATATATATATATATTATATATATATATATATATATATATATATATATATATATATATATATAATATATATGAACGTTTTGAAAAACCTGGGATAGTTCAATTTGCAGTTGAAGAAATCGGTACCTGAGAATAAAATGGGGAATGAAAAAAGAAAGAACCAAGAACATTAAAACAAGGCGAAAACAATCGTCCATTGTCCAACCTGCAAGTCCAAAGAAAAAAAAAAAAAAAAAAACAAAACGTGTCAAAACACAACTATGTAAAGTGATCAATACACTAACAGAGAAAACCTAAGATATGATAATCCTAAGGAGCCATGCAAATCTACCTAGGTTTCACTTAAACAGATCTCCAGGATACTTCCTATATATATATATATATATATATATATATATATATATATATATTTTTTTGCCTAAGAAAATTTTTTTTAGCTAGGATAAATAAACAATATTTGGAACTATTATAAAGTAAGTCCTCCATTTTCCAGGTTCAACGTTTGTATTCCATTTTTCATGCATTTGATCAAGTCTAATCCCTATTTTGCCACTCCTTTAGTAATGTTTCTTTAAGGACTCACGTGATTTTGGATGCACGGCTTTGAAGTTTTCAGTGAAGGTTCTCCCAAACGTGCTCTATTGGATTCATGTTAGGGCTTTGGGCTACCTATGGCAGTAACTTGATTCCCTACGATTCATGTCAGGCCTTTGCTACTTTGCTCGTATGACATGGCGAACCATCTTCTTGAAAAATCGAGACATTCTTGTAAATCTGATTGGTTTCAAATAGTGGGAGTAGTCCTTCCTCTAATATTTGACCGTATTTTGGATCATTCACCCGCTCGTCAACAAGAATCTACTCAGATTTCCCTCCAGAACAGACAGCGCCCCACACCATTACAACAGTCCCACCATATTTCACTTTCGCCTGCAGACATTCAGTGTTCCAAGTCTCATTCTGATTTCTTCAAATATAAAGCTCGAATATTGGCAGAATTTACATTCTTTTGACCAAATTACAGACTGCCAAAATTCATAATATTTGCCCCCTAATTCTCCCGCCCAGTCCATACGCCTGTTCCTGCTAACATTTAAAATCAAGGGCTTCTTTCTTGCAACACTTCTTTGATAGCCTAGCTCTTTTAGAGTCTTTCTTACCGCATATGGAGATATTTCCATGCTGTTGACGACATCTTTGACGCTCTGACCACGGTTTCTGAGGACTTCCCTTTTCAACGCTCTTTTCGTTCATTCAGACACGATGATTGCTCTTCCTGAACGTTGTTCCACAAGACAATGGTTTTCTCCAATAAATTTATTGAAAATATTATTAACCGTTTGGTGATTAAACGAGGAAAACTTAATACATACATACTTAATACATGTTGATTTTGACATTACAGTTAAATTAAACCAAATTATGTTATGTTTTCAGTGTTTATGCCTTTTGTTGTCAGTTTTATATTGTACAGGTATTGTAGATTAAATTTGCGTTTCCTTAGTATTAGTGCATCTATATGTTTACATATATATATATATATATATATAAATATATATATATATGTACCGGCGAAAATAAGTTTAAGACCGATGGTTACAGTTTTATTCATTTCAAAGCATGTTTCTAATAAAACAATATGAATTAGTTTTCTTGTTTACGCAGAATTTATTTCTTTTTCGAACGATGGAAGAATTGTATATTTTTCTACAACTTGAAAAAATTAAATCCTGGATTAATTCCAATTATCGAAATTGCCGGCAGTTCATTTATATATTTTCGTCTGATCTGCGTGGGATCTAAAGTCTATTCACTCTGCCCAGAGTGACATAGGTTCAAATCCTGTCGTTAGGGGTATATTTTTGTCATTCAGATCTCTCGAATATTTTGCCCGGTAGACCAAAATAAATAAATGAACAAAGCGTCTTTTCAAATAGGAGTATCCGCTAAAAATAACTTTTAAAGTGATAAAAATCTGACGGATTGATAAATAAATAAAAACATGTATATATGTAAACTAATGACTAAAATTAATATTCTGTTCACACGTGACAGAAGTTCATATGTAAATATTCTGAACAGTGTTATTAAAACTGCCTTTTTATACGTAAGCTTACGGCTATTTCAGGTTGAAACACCTCTTCTCTTATGATCACCGAAGTTAAGCAACAGCGTTCCTCGTCAGTACCTAGATTGGTGATCGCTTGAGAATACCAGATGCTGTAAGATTTGGTTTGGTTTGGGATGGTTTGTTTTAAAGAATATCTCTGTGCGTTATTTAATGCCGACAAAATTGCTGCTATTTTTTTTTTTCCAAAAATGTATTGCTGGTGATATTTTTTTCCTTCGTTTCATTTTTTGAGAGTGTTATCTGATTATCCAGCGTCCTTTAATAAGGGCTCTGTTGAAATAAATTATTACAATGGAACTTTAAAATGGTCTGTTTTTCTTTAAAATATATATATATATATATATACGTGTGTGTGTGTGTCTGTGTCTGTGTGTCTCTGTGTGTGTGTATGCATATGAGTGTGTGGGGTGGGGTGTGGAGAATAATTTTCTTAGATTCAATGGTCCTGTCAGTGTTGAAAATCTCATGTTCAAGAGAAATAAATGATCGTAATTCCTGATCAGAAAATCCCCGCCATAATTTATGTCAGTTAATCATTTATAACATCCTTTGCTTCATAAATATTCACTTTTTTCTATTTCCACGACGTCCTGTTGTTCATGGCTGTTCATTGAATGCCTGAATAGTTAAGTGATAAGACGCTACTAAACTAACATGAAGAAATTTCGAAGCCAACCTTTACACGTGTCGACGACAGTCACAATTTCATTAAAGAAAACTCATGACAGAATTAGTAATTCTTGGTTGTAAAAGAAATAACAGATTTGGTGGCAAAAAAATTGAATTAAAAAATGATATCCTTAAAATTTATATTCCGCTCGCCGTAAAATTACTTCAATAAGTGGTAAACTGGATTGTCGAAGGCCATCAATTGGTATCTAGCTAAATTTATGGAATATAGACAGTGATTGACCTTGATTTGAAGAAGTTTAAGTCTGTGTTCAAGTAAACAAAACATGAGAATTATTTACAAAAATGGAAGTTCTTGGGGGAAAATAAATGCAACTCCCTTTTAAACTTAGAATAAATTCGAAGTCCATAACATGTCCCCACTGTAAATATCCGGACACTGGTGTAACTAATGACTGAAGCTAATCGTTGCTTTCATCCATGGAAATAGCAAGATAGGAGGTAGAGGCTTGTAATGTTGCGTCTACTAAAAACATTTATGCATTTAAATCATTAAAAATTGACTCGAAAAATTAGGTTGAAAATTTACAAAGCATAGAAATGAATAAATATGGGGACCAGTAATAAAGAATACTAGAGAAAAATCAACGAATATTAACAAAAATTGCAATATAAGCTCTAGTAAAAAAAATGTAATAATAATAACAGAAAAAGTTGAAATACGAGCAATGGTAAAATTGATTGCTGAGACATTAGGTTTATAAGTCACAAAAATTCAAACACAGATATCTTCAAGGACACATGTCCAGTGGATAAAGGCGTCGGTTAGATCCAGTGACTAGAGTTCAATACCAGGCCACAGCAGTGGTGAACCAAAACTTGGAGAGTTGAGTTAAAGGGAAATAACTTCTGGAAGAGTCAAGGCACGTGGAACTAGAACAATCAACCCCGGTAGACGAAATAAAGGGTTCGTTTCGAAATTCCAATCACCTGAAGAAGGCCGGGAATATGACAATGAAGGTAAGGATAACAGCCCGAATAATGCAAGTAAAAAATTACTAATCAACATTTATTAATTGTTGTAAATGGTAATCTAAAATAGAAAACTTTCACCTGTACCATCATTTGCAATATACACGTGTATTTCAGATTTATAAGTTCTAAAAATACCACATTATACCAGGTGTATTGCTGCCATATATGGTCCGGTTCCCGTTCTGTTTGTCTCAGGGTTCTTGATAAGATCCAGAGACGGATATGAAATGTAATTAGCCCTGATCTGGCATCTCGTCTGCAGTCGCTCTCTCACAGACGTGCCGTCGCCCCCCCTCTCTCTCTGTCATTGTAATAGCTCCGTTCAGCTGCTTTCGCTGGTTCCCAGACTTCATGAATTCAAGCGGTTTAAGAGGCCCTCTCGATCCCGCTCTCACCCTTTCGCTGTTGAAACTGTTAAATGTAGCCGTCTCTTCTACTCCAATAGCTTCACATCTCGGACCTCTCGCCTGTGGAACTCCCTTTCCTTTTCCTGTTTCCCTGATAGCTATAATCTCCAACTATTCCAATGTAATGTCAATCGATATCTCCAGTTGCCTTGATCTATCCACTATCCTTCTCCTAATTCTTTCCTCTATCACTTCTCTTTGCTCTAGCTCCAAATCCTCTATAACCCCTTGCGTTCTAGTGGCTTCCCGCCTTGCTTGGGGTGAAATGCTTAACAAAAAAGTTATGTGATACTGAAAAAATGTTATTGATAATAAAAGATATAGTCGATGTAGGTCGAATAAACGCTGAAATAAAATGAATGTTGGTCAGTTTGTAGGAATCCTTCTACTCGGTTTTTCGTTGAATATTAAAATTTGGAGTGTCTGGATTCAATACATTAATAAAATATCGTTACAGGGTCGCTCGTAATTTGGCCGTCTAGAATAATCAAACGCTTTTCATTGAAGGAATAAAATTCAGTAGAAAAGACGACGTAGTTTCAACAAATAAACATTGATTTAATATAACGATAGGAATACAAAAAGTTGGAAAGTAATGTCTTTTGTTTGGGTTGATAAAGTTCTGAAATAAAATATAAACTGTCTTTGTGTAAGCGTGTGAGAAACAATAAAATGTTGTGATGTGTGTGTTTGTATGAAAAAGTCAACATGTGTGTGCGTGATTCATAGTAAAAACGGATACTAGAGATACGAATGGTTTCTTACTTTTGGCGGGGTTTCCGTGGTCTGGAGTTTGTCAACGCTGTCGTTTTTAACATGAGGTCATGAAGGTCATCGGCGAAAGGTGTGTGTAGTTTGCTGGCAGCCGCGTGTATATTGTTTTGGGAACGGATTTCGTATGTTTTTATACACACTTTTCCGAACAATATCGGCTCCAGAATTAAATTATTTATTTATTCCTAATTGGCCCTAAGAAGTCACGTGGTATGTCTTCTACTACGTCCGTACGATATTTGGTCGGTATTTACCTAAAATGATGATGACTAATACAACAAACATTCTGATTTGTAATCTATGATTTTATTGGTGTGTTTTAAGATGTAAGTGTTTTCTTAAGTGTGATTGGTTTATAAATATTGTAGTTGATATTTTAGTGGACACGACAAGTTTGTCTACAACTTATATTCCAAAGTGCAATTTCTTATTCAAACTTTAGAAAGAAAAAAAAAACACGAAACTTGAATATAATAAAAGATCTAAAACGCATAGCTGTTGCCTGGATGAGCCAAACACACGTATACACATATATATGAGTAAACCAGAGAATGAGACTCTCTGCATTTCTATGTGCGTTTTCAAATATGCAGAAGCAATGATTCAAAATAACGATTCCTTAAGTTAGTTTCTCTTTCAATTTACTGCTCTGCAATGGCGTTTCTTCTTTGATTTGTACCTGCCGTTTATTTCTTTCAGAATTTTACAAATTCATTCGAACTTCGCTTACAGTAGCAAAGGACAGAAAACACTACTCGAGGAGCAGAAAGCTAAAAATAAAATATTCCGGGAGAAAGATGCGGAATACCTTATCAGAAATAACCGGAAAGATGTAAATGAAGTAAAACACTAAATGAACCAAATAGTTTTCATGATAAATAAAAAAAATTCTTCAGTAACAAAAAATAAAATAAAATAAAACTCTTGTTTCCAAAGCAGTGTTATAAAGAAAATTAGATCTTCAACTTTATTATCGCATTTTCTTATCATTTCATTGTTCTTTCATGTCTAAATAACCAAATTGATACTCTTGAAAACAAATTGTTTTTCCTTAGGGAGACACTAACTTTTCTCATGCAGTAAGGATGAAATAAAAAAAAGAAGACTCGTTTGTCTTCTAAGTAATCGGTTCGACGATACCAAAAAGAAAAAAAACAAATATATATTCACAACCAGGAAAAAGAATTTTAAGACATATTTCAATGAAAACATATCGAAAAGAAGCAAATACCAAGTCTTAATTTATTATCCGTTGAAAATCTAACATTTCGTCTAGCAAAATTGGATTGCTTTCATATCTTGTTAATTCAGTATCAAAATAAAGAAAGTGAAATTTGTTGCAGGAACAGTCTTTTTTTATTTTTTATTTTTTTCGACGGAAAAGTAAGTTTAGAGAATTATTAAATTATAAAGACATTGTGAGCAAAACAAGGAAGTATCGTGAAAAGTTTCATTTTATATTTTATTTTATTTTCAGCTAATAGATCAACCCACTTTGCGTAGTAGAATCTGTGATTTCTCATCAGGATAAAATGGCGTCCATTGTCTGCTGATTTAATCATTTGCTTCTTATCACAACATTATCACCTGAAACTAATCAAGCATTGCTCATTACTAATTACAAATTCTACTCCAAAATGTTACACTATATAAGGTGTACTAATTACTGTAGTTAGACTGAAGTTTATTAACTTGCGGAGTCGTTGAGCTTAACTATTCGCATGGAATCTTCGCAAAACCATGGCAACTTTGGTTATCATAGAATAATAAATGCAGATGTTTAATCAATAACTTAAAAATTAAACTTCTAAGATAATTAGTTATTTTATTTTTATTTTGGTGGATGGATAGAATAAAGTATTTTTTCTAGTACTTCGACTGTTTACACAGAGATCAATGGATAAATATTGTTTGTACCATTTAACAACACCCTAAACAAACAGGAATCGTTTAATCATTATCGGTCAGATATTATTGTGATTCCAGGATTTGAAATTCTGTTTGTTCCCGCCAATGTGTTGGAGAAGGTTCAGGGTTACGGTTCATGGTAGGGATAGGTCTAGGATTAGAGTAAGGGTTACAGATTTCATTTCATTACAGATTTCATGTAGAAATTATATATACGGGTAAAGATGCTGCGAAAGTACTTTGCCCATTTAACCGATTCAGAAATTTATTGTTACGAGTGTATCCTTATAATTAATTTTAGATTAAAAATGGGGTATTGCTGCTGTAGGGTTGGAGCTGAT